AGACAACTTAATAAAAGGGAATTGTTTTGCAGGGTGTGGCCACAGGGAATTGCTCTGTCCTTATCCTTCCTGACAGATTTTTCTCTCTAGTTTTGCATTTTGCTTGTGTCCTTGTCACTTCTGGTAGCATGAGCCAGTACCTTCAGCACATTCAGGTTACACAGGTAGTCCAGCTCCTCCAGGATGGCACATCCGTATAAGCCGTCGCAAGAAGGTTTGCTGTGTCTCCTAGCACAGTCTCAAGAGCATGGAGGAGATACCAGGAGATGGGCCATTACGCAAAGAGAGCTGGACAGAGCTGTACCCTGACTGCTGTTAGGTACCGGAATGAGCCATTGTCAGACCATATGCTGGTTCCTCTTGGTGCAGGACAATGCCTGGCCGAATTCTCTAAAAGCAAAGGAAAGGTGCCTCAGTGCTTCCTTTCCTATGTCCTTTAGCATAGGGTACACCGGACCATCCTTTACGAAAGGAAAGGAGAGAATGCCGTCCCACAATTCCTTGCGGTGGCAACATTTAAAGCAATGCACGTTCTCAATCTCAAACGATAAAATCCATTGACCACATTTAGCAAAATCCCTTTTTTGGGGGGCTTTTTTGTAATCTAATATCAACGCCATTTTATGTTTCGGGTTGTTGAAATAAGCCATAAAGTGTTTTCCACAATAATAAAAAAGAGAAATCACCGACCATGACGGATAAAGAATGTTGATTACCATGTAAGTTACCATTGGCTATTAAGCCTTTTCTCTCTTATGCCATAACTTGCTGATATGCATATGTCTTAAACTGTCAACAACAGGCTAACTGAGACCCGTGCGAGCTGTGTTACTGGTCTTGTAACTTGATCAAAGTGTGGATAATGTTGCAGCATGTATGTTATGTATTGTCAGCCTTCAGCAATATCATTAATTAAATTTACTTCAGTCACAGATTCTAAATGATGTTTTCCATTGAGGTCAAGGAAAGGTGGTTAGGAAAGGAGATTTTTTTTACTTTTCGGATGCCACCAGGGAGACTAACAGGAGACACTGGGAGAGAGAAGAACATAGGCACAAGGGGTAGGGAGGAGAACAGCAGACTCATAACAATAGATGCCATTAACTGGCCTTCACGTTTCCCAGACCTGAATCCAACTGAGAACCTTTGACACTACTAAAAACCTGTTTACTTCATTTTGATGTTTCATGTTTAATTTGCTAGCCATGATTTGTTTATTTTGACAATAGCTAGAGTTTCAATCATCGCAGGATTCAATTAGTGTAAGAAATTACTTTACATTGTGTGACATCTGAACGTATTATATGCAAATCAAGTCAGTGATTAGATTAATTTAGTGTTTAATGTGACTATTCATCCAATAAAAATGTTTTGATTGCAGTGTAACCTAAGTTTAGGTGATATGTGTGGATTGTGGAAACTTGATATTGTGTTCTAGTGATGGACAGAGTTTTGATAGTGATTGACAGTAGGTTAGTTGGTTTCTGAGATGTGTCTGTGCTTATTTGGTTTGTGTATGACTGTTACCCTGCGATGGACTGGTGACCTGTCCAGGGTGTACCCTGCCTTAGGCCCGATGTCGGCTGGGATTGGCTCCAGCCCCCTGCGGCCCTGTACGCAGGATAAGCAGTTGAAGATGGATGGATGGATGACTGTTACCATTAGATGCTGAGAATTACAACAAAGTCAGAGGCAGACAAATGTGAAAGTAGAGTGGGACAGAAGAACAGACAGATAAGCCAATATCAAAATTGACCTTCAAATTTCCTTCAAATACACGTGTCACTGATTTGACCATTAACACCAACTCATGCAGATTTATATGATATATATTCTCAAATGTATATTTTTGCCATAATAGTGGAATGGCTGTAGTGATTCTAATATTGCTCTGTCAGTCAGTACATCACTCAAAGTTTCCTTGTTCACATGTGAACATATTCAAAGATTTTTTATGTCCTAACATTTCATGAAGCACAATCGACAACTTGACATTTTTGGTGATGCCACCAAAGGCATCACCAAAAAGCTGATTAGCTGATTCTCTCCCACAATAGCACTGAGAACCAGATACATTTAATGTCATAGATGTTTGATGTTTAGGGGAATTTATCAACCTATAACAATAATGAATCACACCAAGTTGAATTTTATTGATTGTTTCCTTTCTCATGTTTGGCATGACTTTCTGATGTGCAAAGGCCAAATGCAAGTTAAACTGCTCATGTTTTTGACTTCATATTTTGGACTTCACTTTTTTTTAAACTTGGTTAGCTTTACGGGAGAGAGAGAGAGAGAGAGAGAGAGAGAGAGAGAGAGAGAGAGAGAGAGAGTGCCTAGGAGACAGACAGCTAGGAGTTTTTGCCAGTGGTTTTGACGATGAAATGCTGTGTATCTGTCCACCACAACATTCCTCAACAGAAACATATTTAATAACAATAAACACATAATGAGAAAAGTATGTTTTTTAAATGTTTAAAAAAATAACCAGTGTAAAAATATCAGGGGATAGCTACTCAAATGAATAAACTCCTGCTTCTTCCTGGTACTCTGTACTTTGTAGAGACCTTCTTCATGTCTGTACAACAAGCAAAAACCACATGTAGCAGCTGCACTGACAGAGATGCTGCGGTGGGCCGTTTCTCTGCTCTTTGACCAACCATCGAGGCTGTTTACTCAGAACAGACCTGACTATGTGCTTTAACAGGATATGCAGTGAGGGGAGAGCTACCTGAGGCTTCAGCAGTCTAGTTGCAGTTAAACAAATTAAAATGTTTTTAGTTGTTCTTACTTGTCAATGTGCTCATTTTAAGTTCAAATAATGTATCTTGTGTTTCTAAAGATACAACCACATCTACAACCATGTGCATCTGCAATCTCAAAATATAGAATCTTCTTATTGGTTCATGTTTTGGTAAAATTTTGAAAGAAATGGATTGACATGATGCACATTGGAACATACATTAGCATGGCTTTCAAACATATTTGAAGTTAATCAGGCAAACTTAAACATGAGATCAAAAGACCAGGGTGGGACCAGTGAATGTTAAATACATCCCCCCTCTGACAGCAACTATCAATGAAAAGCACCATACCGCAGAGAGGTGTGTTGAAAAACAGTCATGACCTAGAATTTCTATACCCTTTCTCTTGTAAGTTTTTGGGATATTTATAATCATAAAAATAGTAGTTTGTAGTCTTTTTCCCCTTGTCTTTTTAAAACTGGTAAAACAGCAGTGCAACTGCCTGGGACAAAAAAAAAGTGTGAGAAAAGAAGAAAAGGTGTTGATACCTTAGTTTTAAGCCCAACCACAACAATACTTAAGTTTCCATGCACCATTTGTTGCATCAGAATGCATCTGTATAACTTATATATAACAACTTTCAGTTGTCTTATTTATTTTCAGTCTCTATACATCTTGTTAAGTAAGTGAAGTTGTGCCAGACACTCCCCCTTTTTTGATGCCAGAGTTTGTGGTGTTGTACTGGACTCCATGATATTGACAGGTGTTACTGTTATTGTGAGGCTGTCTACCGTAAAAAGCTTCCTTTTTATAAAGTTATCTAAATTTCACATAGCTGAATGAGTTTCTGTGATAGTGCTGTGATAGAGTGGTGATCTAGTCCTGCCTCTCACTCCCCTGACTGAGAATTAAGCAGGTATAGTGGTAAGATGATGTAACAGCCCTCCTACCACTCTCTAGTCTGTGCTCTTCCTTCTGATGGGTTTTACTACAGGTAGTAAGTGGGTCATCATTGATGATGTGATAATATCAACAATGGATGTATGTGAGGGAGACCACATGTAAAAACAAAATCACAATGAATCAACACCTCACCCTGAAGTTCCCCTCAGCTCTAGGGGAGGGCTTCTGCTTATTGTTTTGATTTTACGGCCCACAATATAACTGTTTGGTTTATTTCACTGCTCTTATCAGAGTTGTTGCCAGAAGCAACACAAATCTCTGTGCTGATTCAAGTCATTTTGTTCAATTCAGTTGAAAGATTCAAAGTCACTGACAATGTAATTTGTTCGCATTATCCCTAAGCTAAACAGTTTCATCACCTATCAAATGCACTTCAGTGCATACAACAGTAAAGCCTCGATCATACTTCAGTACAGATGTGGACACGGCCAGTGGACACACATGGACTTTTATACATATCATCAGATTGCTTTTCTAGCACACATAGTCCACGCAGTCATACACGAACATCCACACAGGGATTCGTGCAGTCTCTCGTGCACTTGGGCAGATGACGAAATACAGATGAGGAACTATGAACTGGCCTGAAGTGAATGCATCACCATTCATATCACCAAGACCTTTAGTGCTGATTCTGATTTCCTTTAATTCAGTAGTACATCAAGTCTCCATTTTCAGCAAAATGTTCTGATAATCCAGCTGTATGCTATCTGTGCAGTACCAAACAGTAGAGTGACAAGGTTAGCTGCTAGCTGGTGAACATAGTGGTGCATTTAGCAGCTTTTTTTTGAAAATATAGAGAGCAATATATTTCCTTCAGGAGTAAGAGAACAAAAACAAAGTTAAAAGGAGAGTATGGAAATACAACATTAAAGGATAAGAACACACTAAAGATATACAACATAATAACGTGCTGTATTATGTCATATTGTCTCTTCTTCCTCCCCTTGTGTTAAGGGAAATTCTCTTGATTGATTACCCCCAAAAGGTAAAATGACATGTCATTTGGGTGTGTCCTAAACATCTTGACCATATTAGTTAGTACCAGCTGAAACGTCCATCAAAATATTTTCAAAATATATAGGAAAATGTTGTGAATCAGATTGTTTTGCATTACTGTAATTCACGTAAAGATCAAATCATCTCTTGTGTTTCAATGTCAGTTATAGAAACCCACCATGAAACATGAAAGCTTGCTGTTGGTGTTGTTTCATGTGTTTAGGTTGGAAAGATAGTTGAGATTATTTCCACTGTGGTAGTAAAGTGAAACGCCAACATGACGCCAATCAGAATGCTGTGTATTTGTTTCCTCCCACTTGATATGGTTACATTACTGTGAATCATCTTATAATGCTTTCTAATTTAACTGCAGTCTCAAGTGGAATAACCTGAAAATGCTGATTATATTTTATTTACTGCTGATGTTCAGAGTTGGGCGTAAGTATATGTAGAAATTTCAGATTTACTCCTCAAATATATTTTAAGTGTTGTAATCCTGTGACAGTAATTGAGGAGAGGGTGTACATGATTCTTTCTCTGTTGTTAATGTAAAATACTGTTATTTCAGGATGCACAGATGATCCTATCTTTGAGACAAAGATCGTTGCTGTTGGAGATTATGTGAAACTGACATGTACCCGCAAAGGTACAGGAAGCATGTTTTGGATCAGGCTTGTTTCAGGAAACTTTCCTGAAGTCGTAGGAAAAACATTTAGCTTTGAGGGTGTTGAGCGTCACATTAAAACCAAAGAAGAGCCTGGAACATTTGTTCTGCATATCACAGAAGCAAAGCTAAGTGATACTGCAGTTTACGTCTGTATGAAAATACATCAGCAAAACTTTACATTTTTGAATGGAACAGACCTGAAAGTTGAAGGTAAATACAGCACAAATAGCAACAGATTTTTCAGATTCCTCAAAATGTTCATTATGAGTTCCAATAGTAATTTACAAACCTTATTTTCCTTACTTGTACATATAACGTAACTAACTTAACATGTTTGCATAATTCATACAGAAATTTTAAAAAATGAAATGCTTTGTTTTAAATCATCTGATTCTGTTTTGTGTGCACAAGAATCTGATATCACTGCAGTCCCTCCATCTGATCCAGTCCGTTCAGGAGACTCGGTGACTCTGCAGTGTTCAGTCCTCTCTGACTCTGAGAACAAAACATGTCCAGGAGAACTCAGTGTGTGTTGTTTTAGAGATGGATCACATCAGTCTTATCCAAGTTTTAATTATAGTCAAGGAAATAGTGTTGACGACAGTGAGGGATTCTCAACAAAGAAGTGTTTCTACAGCAAGAACATCTTTAAAAACGTCAGCTCCTCTGATGCTGGAATTTATTACTGTGCTGTGGCCACATGTGGGGACATATTTTGTGGAAACAGATCAAAACCCGAAACTGAAGGTAACTGCATCATAATTCAATATAATGACAAAGATAGCATATTTGTGAGAAATATTTGATCTTCATGTACCATAACATCATAAATGATCAATTTCTCTTAATTACACTTTTACTAATTGCTTGCTTTTTATTATTTGCTCCTTTTCACGTTGTGTCAGCAATCAACATGAGGGATTTGCAGAAGGACAATACAATTGTCATTCTGTTATGTGCTGCTTTGGCTATATGTGTGATTGTTATAGCCTTTCTCAGTTATACAATCAAGAAACTCAAGAGAAATTCTTGTGGTTGTTGCAATGGTAAGCAAATTCACTCATGCATCAATCCATCAAAGAGTTTTTGCCAAAACTGGATTCCCCTCAATGCTGTGTTTTTATTTTATGATACAGCTGCTGTTGTTCTGCAAATAAATGCTGCAACAGCCAATGCCAGTGATCAGCAAAGTCAGAAGGTAATGTTTATCAAGATCAGATGTAGCTAAAAAGTTATCAGCATGTCTTTCTCTTTAATTGTATAATGAATTCATCTGCCCACTCTTAGCATGTCTCCATATATTTTCTCAGACAGATGAGGACTCATTGGTTTATTCTGCACCAACCTTCACTGGTAGGAAATCTGGCAGATCAGAGAGAAGGGATGCAAAAACAGAGGAGGAAGAGAGCATCTACACTGATGTCAGGACTCTTGGGTTGGATTAACAGTCTACACACTATAGAGCCTTTAAGGCTCGTGTAATTTTGGTTTGCACACTGTGTGAGAAATGTAATTACTAAGCAGCCACGGTGCTTAATTTCACCAAGTTGGAAATTTTTATTTTATTTTGGATAACTTAAAACACATGTATATTTCATTGTTTTATATGTATTGTAAAGAAAATGATTCCTCATGATGCAAAAATAATATAATATAATATGTATAAATACAAAGTTGTGAACTATGAGAAGATTTTCCCTTTGATATAATTTTCAAGTCTGTTAAGACCCACATCTACAGTTCTTATTTAGTAGGAATTGGTGGTTGTGTAGATTTGTTGCTTCATTCTTAATAAATAAATATACTTTATGACAAGATATGATCAGATTCTCAACATGTCAAATGAGACATGAAGCCTGTCTTCTGTCACTCTGCATTCCTACATAATTGCCTATGAGCACAGGTGTCATCATTGAGCCAGGGTTGAGTTTAAGATCTTTTGACTGACTTTTTTTTGTCATGGCTGTAAATATTGGGGCGGCTGTGGCTCAGGAGGTAGAGCGGGTTGGCTGTTAATCGGAAGGTTGGTGGTTCAATCCCTGGTTGTGTGTCAAAGTGTCCTTGGGCAAGATACTGAACCCTGAATTGCCCCTGGCTGTTCCGCCAGTGTGTGAATGTTAGTTTCCGTTTGAGCACTTAGGCTCAGTATATGACTGGTGAATGCAGATGTAGTATAAAAGCTCTTTGAGTGGTCAAAAAGACTAGAAATACAAGTATGAGACATTTACATATTATTTTTCTGTTTTAACAAAACAATATCCACACTTCCAAGAGAGGAAGAAAAGAGTATCATCAGTGTTTGCTCTCCTAGCTGTTTGTTTGTGTTCAGTTGGTCAGAGGTCACTGGTAAATCTGACACGTTTAAGTGCCAATGAAATAATTCTATAGGAAAGCTTGAAACCAGGCATAAACTCTATCACTCTTGTTAGCACACTAGACAAGTAAGAATGTTTTTAAATACATAAGCTGCTACATTGTTGGTCAGTGTTATTTTGAGAGAAATGTTCAGCCAGGCCCACACGTTCTCTAATGGGCACACATCTGTGGACTTGTGTCCCAGTCCAGCCTCAATGAACTAAACACAGATGGAGAGCACAGGGGATTTTAAGTAAATTAACCATTATTAGATTTATAACTAAGACAAATAAAAGTTAATGAAGTCTGTAGGTCAGGGTGTGTAGTGCTGTATAGCCAAATCAAAGAAAAAACTAAAGTATAGGTATTGATGGTGAAACAGCATAAGGAGCCAGCTTTAATAGCCTGGCCCCAGGCCATAGGCCCAGCCAAACAAGGTGCATGATCTCAGGTCAGATAACCACTCCAAATTTTACCTGTGAGTAACCTGGAAGGAAAATAACACTGAGAGGAACACTGTTTTGGGTAGAAAAAAAACAATACAACACAAGAAGAAAATATTAGCACAGACAAAATAAGGTTTTGTCAACACAAAAAAGTGTCAAACATGGGCCAAAATCACCCCAATAATGCCTTATATGGTGTGTGGTGTCTGATATTTTATTTGTGTCCAAATTCCAAATGTGTAAATGTACTGCTTACTATCAAGTAAGTGTCTGTTATACAGTAAGTACAATGAGGAGGAATCCTCATCCTCCTGATCCCAATGAGTCTCATTTAAGGGCCCTCAAGACGGGACCCCAAAGAAGGCGGGCATCCAAACAATGTCGAGGTTCTCTGTCGTCCAATTCTCTGGTCTCTTTTCTGCTAGACATTGCTCTAGAGTCAGACAGCATCCAGACTGCAGTTAATCAGTCAGCTAGCACAGAACCAGCTAGTTCCCTTCCTTGTGTCAGTAACTTTACATCCTGCCTTTGTATGTTTCCCCTCAATTTTGATTGTCCACCCCTGCCTGATAAGTTTTACATGTGTCTAGTCAGGCTCCCCTCTCTTACTAGTGTATGTAGTCTGTGTTTTCCTTTTTGTCTCAGTGGCAGTTGTCTTTGTCTTACATGTAAAGAGTCCCAGACCATTCTTAGTGATTTCCCAGTGTTTTTTGGATCTTTTATTTGTTTTCTTAAACCTTGCCTTTCCATTTCTTGAGCACCTCTGTTGGGGAGGCTGTGAATCTGGAGGAAAAACAAGTTGCCTGTTGGCTACCACCAGTGTATGAATGTGTGTGAATCTTAGTTTCTGTTTGAGCACTTAGGCTCAGTGTATGAATGTGTGTGAATCTTAGTTTCTGTTTGAGCACTTAGGCTCAGTGTATGAATGTGTGTGAATGGTGAATGCAATGTAGTGTAAAAGCGCTTTGAGTGGTCGTAAAGACTAGCACACCACTTTCTTCTGTGGCAACTTCCCAGAGCAGAGAGGTTTTCGCTCTGATGTCCTCTGGCTGCTCTGGCTCAACTGATACTAAATGAAAGAGTTTGTTACTTAGTTTAGGCGCTAACTACTGCTGCTGCTGCTAGCAAGTTAGCTGATTTAGCCATTCAGGTAGCCGTCCTAGCTGATTCTGCACAGACTGGAAGCTTGGTGTGTTGGTATTTAAGGGTGCTTTCACACCTGTAGTTCGATTCAAGTTTTAAAAAAATTATACACTGTTGCATTTTAATTCTGGTCCTGTTCATGTCCACACTGCAGTTTTACAAACAAACCAAGAGAAGTAACCATGACGTTACACAGACTTACAGGTAAGTTGTTGATTGGACAGCTTCGGCGATTGTCATCCTGCATCTTAAGGACCCACGAGTGGAAATCAAACTCCAGTGACTCACAGAAGTTTATGCAGCACTTTAATGCTTCTGATCTGTATCACAAAGAGCTCACGCAGTAATAATTTATTATAAGCATGAATAGTAATGTTAGACCGCAGATCACCCACATATGAAAAATAACATAGAAACAGGACATGTACAATAATAATTCAGGTCTTATTACCCTATAGTATACTGTGGGATCGCTGTTGTTTTATGGACTTAATGAAGAGAGGTGTGTTCAGCATGTGTTCACTGCGCGGGTGTGTCTACTGCGCTTAACGGCTGGAGGAGGTGTAATGCTACGCTGACCCCTCCGTGACATCAAGAAGGAGGCTAACACACAAATTTACTAAGGAACTGAGCAGGAGAAATAGAGAGAGGATGGTTTTTCTCATAGTTTTCTTTAGATACACCGGGCACTTATTCAGGTTGAAAAGGCATGAAAAAGTGGATTTTGTATAATATGGGACCTTTATGTTGATCTTTCACTGGTGATACTTTGATCCCTGACGTGAAGCACAATGTAAACAATTTAAATGCGAGTCTGTGCTTTTGTGAATCCAGTTTTGTTGTAACCATACTAACTCATTTTTACAATACCTTTGGTCTAACATTTGTTTATGTAATCATTTCCAGATTTGTAATAACTGTCATTGCATTTGTCCAATACTGCCTTCACAGTTTCACGATTGCTTCCAGTAAAAACTACTTGGGCAGTCCATTACCTTTAACTTTTAATTGAAAGTGCGCTTAGCTCTCTGCAAAGTTGTGCACCCCATGCATAGTCAGGGCAGAACATGGACACTGCCTAACAAAGATGAAAAGTATTGAAAAATGAAAGCAGATGTTGAAGAGTTCCTAAAATTCATAAAAACTAAAATCTTTAACATTATCATTAAATTATGTGAATGAATAAGAATGAGGTTTCACAGAGACAAGAATGAGACCAATGTGACAGGAAGTGACCATTTGATTCTAAGTTCTGTGAGAGCCAATCAGATTCATTTGACAGTTTGACATACTTACTGAAATACCAACAAGGTTCCTAAGAAGAGACAATATCAAGATGATCCTGTTATGGGTTACACTGCTTGTTCTTCATCGAGGATGTAAGTGCTGTCTAATTCTGTGAATGTATTAAGTTGAGAATTTGGATGCCAACTAGTCACAGACATTATCTTACCCTTAATCTATTATCTTTTGTATATTACATGTTCTACATCACACACTATTTGTTGTTTACGGTTTCATGCATTGTATGTTTTTATTTCCTTCAGATACGCTGGTTCCAGTGACCACAGTTCAACTTGGTGAACCTGTAACCTTCCTGTGTGCTCTGCCTATTACTGAGATCAGCCATAGAAAACTCCTATGGTATAAGCAAAGTGCTGGGGATACTCTGAAGTTAATTGTGACAATGCGTAAATCCCAGGAACCCGAGTATGCACCGGAGTTTTCTGAATCGAGATTCAGTGTAAACAATTTAAACAATTATTGCAACTTAACCATTCTGTGGACAATCCAAGAAGATGAAGGAATGTATCACTGTGAAATAGCAGAGTGGACTGCAACTCCTGAATGGAGTGGGACATATTTGTTACTAAAAGGTAATCGTGTGATCTACTATTATTAAGTTTTGCAAATGCTTCAGACACCGATTTCAAGCTGCACTGTGTTAATGTTTAAAAATAAGAACTTTTAATGTCAGAAGCCTGTTTGTCAAATTATTAAAGTCACATTTAGATATACTTAAAATCTTCTTAGACTTTCAAAATGTGCTTGGAAATTTTAATACAGTATTGAATTACACAGGAAACACTCAGAAGACATCAAACTATACTGTAATTCAGGGACCAACAGTATCTGATCCAGACCGTCCAGCAGACTCGATGACTCTCCAGTGTTCAGTCCTCTCTGAATCTGAGAATAAGACATGTCCAGGAGATCACAGTGTGTACTGGTTCAGAGCCAGATCAGATAAATCTCATCCAGACATCATTTACACTGATGGAAATGGACGTGATGAATGTGACAAGAGATCTGACTCTCAGAAAAGCTGTGTTTATCGCTTCTCTAAGAACATCAGCTCCTCTGATGATGGGACTTACTACTGTGCTGTGGCCACATGTGGGAAGATATTATTTGGAGATGGAAGAAAATTACAAATCGGTATGATTTTGCATTCATTACTGGAGGTGATATTCCCAACTTGTTAATATCATCATTAATACATTTTTTTCTTTGCTGTCTAGAGCAAACAGCAAATTCTGAATTTATGGCGCTGGTGATAGCAATTGTCTGCTTGGTCATTTCTGTGATTGGAAATATTGCTTGCATCTGTTATCGAAGTCCAAAAGCAATACACAAACAATTTAAAGGTTAGTGGAAACATTTACTTTTATATTTTACTTGAAAAGTTCATAGAGTGTAGAAAGTGTAACATCATACAGAGCAGACAAACAAACCTCATTGTTCTGAAACTGGGATAAAATAATATATATCAGTAGAAGTCTGTTATTTAGCAGATTATTAATAAATTAATGTATACGCAATTATTTGTTCCACTAAATTGCTGTTTGTTCCATGTATGCCTCATGAAACTTAACTTTTAGTGCATGATGTCAATAGTTAAGGGAAAAAATCTTTTTTTTACATGTTTAAATTAAAACATGTTGAATTAGCTCAAAATCCTTATTGAAAAGTGCATAATATATCTGTTTTCAATCATTGTTAGGAATAGAAAGTACCGCTTCGGAAGCAATACATGACAACCTGGGCCAACCACTACATGATATTGTAAGTAATGATATCAAATTCCATTGTTTGCTCTTATTTCATTAACATAATTCCCAATAGCACCATAACAACATGACTATATAATGAGCCTTTTATTTGCTGCACAGACTAAAAGTGAAGATGATCTGAACTATGCTGCGTTGCATTTATCTGGAAGGAAAGCCAATAGAGGAAGGAAGAAAAAAGAGATGGAGACTGAAGAAAGTGTGTACTCTCAAGTTAAATGCTGAGTGTGAATGTGTGTCCTCAAATAAACTGTGGTTCAGTTAAGAGGACTGACTTTTGACAATGATTTACATTGTACACTGTACATTTTATACTCAAATTGACACCCAAACCAAACATACCTTTTACTTAGTAGGTACTTTTGTTGAGTAGTGCTCTGGCAGAGGAGATAAAAAACCTGCTACAGCGAACCCTTTTCCATGCCAGGGATCCATAATAATCTTTTTTTTTTTTTAAACTTCAAAACATTTTATAGGGCTATTAATAGGATAGTAAGTGATTGTAATCAATACACTTTTTGTTAAATAGTTAAAAGGAAGCAGTGTGGACCTTGCCACACAATATTGTTCCAGCCAACATGCATTAGGTGGCGTTGGTGCTTGTGCACAGGAGTGATGGGAGGAGGGGGCTTCTATATATCAGCACTTTCAAGCATGCTGGATGCCAGGCACTGTGAAGAATGAGAGATAGTAGAGAAACCACCAAAGAGGAAAAAGTCTAAAGAGTATACAAACAGAAGAAAGTTATAAGGCAAGGCGAAAGTGTTTCAACGCTGAAGAAACCTCAGAGATTTGAAATTTAGGGGGCGGAACGTCTTACAGAGCACTAAAGGGAGGGGTGTATTTGTTTGGCAGCTGAGTTCAAATCAACAATCCTGCGGAATCACTTGGTCTACCTTTCAAACAATCACATATCTGCTTTTTATTATATTAGTTTACATATTCATTGTCTTTCTTTCATTTATCCTCAAACATCTGGGGATGTGGTTTGTAAAAATAAAATCTCTTTTTTGTGAATATAACATTTTCATGTGTGTCTGGCCTGGTTATATGAGAGAACATGAGGGGGCTTCTCATGCACACAACTCGTCTCAGTGAGTGCATCCACACGTCTTTGGAAAAAGCTAATATGAGGCTTAAGTGGCCTGAGTTAGTAGCTTCAAATTAGTCTTTTTATTATTATTGTCTTTTTCATTCCTACTACTGATCCTATCATTATATGCTTCATGGTTCAAGTCATGTTATGCTCTTTATCTTATTATCAACTCAAAATGAATTACAGTTACATTATAATAATTTTAAACTCATGAATAAAGGTTTGCACAACACATCAGTCAGATTTGTTTATTTATTCTGTCATATTTCAAACATTGTCACTCTAAGGCCTCTTAGAGCATGTGACTCTATAAGGTCCCTATATCTCAGCTGTGTCTAAAATTTATACAGCATATTAAGTATATTCTGTTTGAATTAATCTAATCATTATGGTACACTTTTTAGCAATTATTATACAAAAATCGCAACAACCATTTTATACAAACAATGAATGTCTTTGTGGAAAAGGGGGAGACACATGCTTCTTGACGTGAATTGACCCACCTCCTTGGCTTAGCTCAGAGTAAAATCTGATTAAACTTTAACAAGCAAAATCACAAGCACTCCACATCATGATCTGGCTCTGCCACCCTCTCAGTCCTTGTTTCAGTCAGTGTTTCCCCTGTTTTTCCTTTCTGTGTGTTACTCGTCTGTCTCCTGTCTGTCTTCTCTGTCTGTATGTAACTGAGCATGGGGCTCTGGTCTCTCTCTGGGCAGACAAATCAGAGAATCACCTGTTGAGCCTCTACATACCTGAGATTCATCCCACAATCAAGCCCTGCAGTAGTACTTAAACCCCGGCTCTGCACTTCATTCTTCACCAAATAGTTTGTTCACTTCAGTGGTACTCAAGCTACGGAAAACTTTGAAAGACACTGGTGGTGATTGAAGTTCCTGTTGCCAGACTTTTTCCTGACTCCTGTGTTTCTAATTTGCTTGTGCTTCAGGTTTTTTGATTCCGGAGAAGAAGAATTTTTAAATAAAACCTGATTTTCCTTTTACTTCGGTCTTTGTGTCTACAATTGGGTCCTCAATATAACCAGCCCCCTAACAGTTATTTTCTTTATTCATCAAACTATTTTTTTTCAATCTTCATTGTACTGATTAACAGTTAAAAACATATAATCTACTCAGATACAGATAACATGTTGATACCAAGTGTACTGTAGACAAGGCTTAAGAGCTCCCTCCTCCTTTGTTCAGTATCACTTTGACTATGATTCTGAGGCTTTTTTGATCTTGAAATAGGCACAACAAGCAACTCAAAACAAACTGATGAGGGTTGGATCACGTTAGACACGTCTTAATTCTCAATACTCCAAAGGATCCCAAAATTTGACAGGACAACTCCTATGTCTACTTTCACCATAATCTATGAGGCATTATACGATGCATTCAAATGTAATAATTCATTTAAAGTGGGTCTTAAAACATGTTTTGAAAGTTTTTGGTCCCTGTACGTCCTATGGACAGGAGGAACAATTCAAATGTAAGTAATGGGTAACAAAATTCACTGTCCTTGTTTCAGTTTAGCTGAAGGTAATATGAGGCTTCAACAGTCTGAGTTAATCAAGTTGGTATCTTACAAGTGTTTTAATGTGGCGTTTTTTTAATGCTTGTGTTTTTCATTTATATTTCTTTGCCGAGCTACAGTAGAGAAATAGTAACTCAAAGATGAATTTTCATAAAAAGACTTGTAGTTTGACCAACTAAGACTGAATTGGCTGAATTGGTTAGGTAATAATGTGACTGGAACAATTACAGTGACCAGTAATGCCTGACAAGACTAGTGTGTTGCTGACGTTTTGTTTGCTTACACAGTTCTCAGTTTTTTCACATGGATTTGAGTTTTGCTCTCGCAGATCAGATTTACATATGGCTGCCCTTTCTAAGATTGTTTATGTTATTATTTATTTTAATAATTATTCCTTATTAGACTTACATCCTCAGATTTAATATAAAGATAATTACTATTTAAAACAAAGGTAACTGTCAATATTCTGTTCTGGGTCTGTCAATGGTCTGTGTCTGTGAGTTTTATACATTGTTTGCTTGTTTCTGTGTTATGTTGAGAATTGCTTGTGTCTGGTTGTCAGTGTGTCTGCATTTCTGCCTGTTCCTGTTTTGTCATGTATGGCTTTGCTTCCTGCCTGTGTCTTCCTTGTCTTGATTACCTGATGTGTTTGTCATACCTGTATATTCCCTCCCTTCTCATTAGTCCTGTATATATTGCCTGCTGTTCTGTTCTGTCTTTGCTTGATCATTGCTTTGTCACGTGTTGCTTCATTTTGTGTGTTTCCATGTCCTGCTCATCTGCCTGCAACTCTGCCAGTTTGTTCTCAGTCTGTGTTTGTTTGGACTTATGTTCATCATCTCCTGGAGCCTGTTTTGCTTGGCTGTTTTTTTGAGTTACATAATCACATTTAGATTCTGGACGTCCACAGTGATTTGTGTGCCTTTTGTTAAATAATTGAATTCATCCTGCCAGTTCTACTGTCTTGTATTCAATCAATGTCAATCTGGCTCAGCTCATGCCACAGTAATTAAAAGCTAATATGTAATTAAAGATAAAAGAATAATAACAAGCAAATACAAAAAACATAATATTATGCAAGGATCAATATATGGTAAAACAATGAGCATAAAGAGCATGTCTGTATGCTATGATTTTGGCTTTTACCATAAACACCTCAAGGTCATTATAGTTACAGGGGATCACAACATTTAATTTTTTATTTACTTATTTACTGTCAGAGTTAAGTTCTATACACCAACCAACAGGATTTAGCATTTAGCATTTAACTTGAGAGTATACACTTTCATCAGTCTTCAACTCTTTCTTCCTTCCTCTTGTAGCTTTCCTTCCAGATAAATGCAACGCAGCATAGTTCAGATCATCTCCACCTTCAGTCTGTGCAGCAAATAAAAGGTTCATTATAAAGTCATGTTGTTATATAGTGCTGTTGGGAATTATGTTAATGAAAACAAAATGTTAATGAAATCATGCAATCTGGTATTATTACTTACAATATTATTTAGTGGTTGGCTCAAGTTCTCACATTTTGCTTGCGAAGTGGCACTTTCTACTCCTAACAATAAATGAAAACAGGAATATTTTGTAGTTAATCTGACTTTTCACTTATCATCCTCTGCTGATTCAACAAGTTTAATTAAAATTAGGAAATTATCCTTAATTATTGACATTGTGCACTGTAAAGGTAAAGTTTAATGAGGCACACATGTAACAAACAAGAATATGGAGACTCGTAATTGTGCTACAATTAATACATCAATGTATTAACAATATGCAAATGAAAGTGTGATGTTACACTTCCTACACTATGTGAACTTTTGAAGTAAGAAAATAAATCTATTAAATGTTTCCATCAACAACACTTACCTTTAAATTGTTCACATACTGCCCTTGGAGTTCGATAACAGATGAAACAGATGAAAACAACATTTCCAATCACAGAAATGACCAAGCAGACAATTGCTATCACCAGTGCAATAAATTCAGAATTTCTGTCCGCTCTAGACAACAAAGAAAAAAACGGATTAATCACAATATTAGCATGTTGTGAATATCCCTCCAGTATTGAGCCCAGAATCATACCGATTTGTGATTTTGTTCCAGCTCCCAATAATATCTTCCCACATGTGGCCACAGCACAGTAGTAAGTCCCATCATCAGAGGAGCTGACGTTCTTAGAGAAGCGATAAACACAGCTTCTCTGAGAGTCAGACCTCTTGTCACATTCATTATTTCCATTTCCATCGGTGTAGATGATGTCTGGATGAGAATGATCTGATCCGGCTCTGAACCAGTACACACTGTGATCTCCTGGACACGTCTCATTCTCAGATTCAGAGAGGACTGAACACTGGAGAGTCACAGAGTCTCCTGGACGGACTGGATCAGATACCGTCGGCCCATGAATGACAGTATAGTTTGATGTCTTCTGAGTTTTGCCTGCATAATACAAAACTGTGTTAAAAGTTTGGGATCTGCACACACATGAATCTTAAAAATGCTAATAGTAGTTTGGAGTTTAAATGTAATGTGAGCATAACATACAAGGATTTTGCATGATACTCTGTAAAAATAAGTGTTCTATAAGTATAAAAGGTAAATCCTGAGCGTATTGTACCTCACATAAAATTTAATTTACAGATATTTTAAGATACATTGTACAGCAAATTTGGAAATCTGACACTAAGTCAAGTTATTTATCACAAACATTGGTAATTAGCATCAACACAGTCAACTGTTAAGTGGTTAAAGATTCTAAAATATTGCAAGGAACAGATCACATAATTACCTTTTAACGATAAATAGGTGCCACTCCAAGTAACCTTAAACCACTCCACGACTGCACAGTGATACATTCCCTCATCTTTTTCAATTGTCCTCAAAATGGTGAGATTGCTAATATTCTTGTATTCTTTTACTTCCAATCTTGAGGCAGAAAAGTCTGGTCCATACTCAGGGTTTGTATTTTTCAGCAGTTTCAATATTAATTTTAGAGTATTCCCAGCACTCTGCTTGTACCACCAAAGTTGTTCACGGTTCAACCCCTCGTCAGGCAAAGCACATGTGAAGGTCGCAGGTTCACCAAGTTGAACTGTGTTCACTGGAACCAACGTATCTGAATGAAATAAAAACATTCAATAAATGAAACAGTAAATAACAAATTGTATAATGTAAAAAATGGGAACACAACAGAATAATCACATGAACATCTAATTTGCATGCAGACACTTAAATAAAAAAACATGATTGTATAGCACTTACATCCTTGATGAAGAACAAGTAGTGTAACCCATAACAGGATCATCATGACACTGTCTTTTATTTGGAAACATGTTGGTATTTCAGTGAATGAAGGAGGAGGTGAGATGATCCTCATAGGTCAGAACATCAGATGCATCTGATTGGTTATCACAGAATATACAATCACAGGGCATTTCCTGCCTCACTGGTCTCGTCCTGATCTACATGAAGCATATTACCTCTCACTCTCATCCAATCACTTAACCATTTGATGTTTTTCTGAACTTTCTTTCTAACATTTCTTCTTAACATGAAATTGACTGCTGTTATGCCTATATCATCACTGCTCGTGCACTGATAGAAACCATTTCTCACAGTCTAAAAAAACATAACAAAACAAAGTCTAAAGCCCTTTATGCAGCTCTCTGAGGCTGTACTTGCTTGTGTTGAACACACGCCCCACTCAATGGTGGTGCAGAGGGGTGGCTTCTTGGACCTCAGTCCCAAATGTTTTCTCAAAAGCCCAGAATCTTTTAGGATTTAAAATATCTTCAACTTTGCTTTATGTCCCCTCAGTCTCTCTGACTGAAGCAGCAAATCAATGCAGCACACACTCAATTACTGGGGAAATATCACCATCAACATTGTCATAAGTTGTTGTGTGTGTCCATTCACTCGTGTCAACCAATTTAGTAAGCTAGTTAGCTAGCTAACTAACTTCTGCACTAGCACGAAAATAACAATTGTTTTCACGAGGAGTAATCCTCAGCCGCCATCCACAGAAGTGGAGCAGCAACAACAGCGAGCGAACCGCATACAGGTGTTGTTTCAGGTGTGTGAATCTGCAGCATCAGCATCAGTATTAGCTAGGGATTTGTGGAGAGGTTTTTTTTTCAGGTGTGTGAATCCACAGCTGTAACAGGCAAGTAGCTGTGAGTTGGTGAGATTAGCTTAACATGTATTGCTAGTTAGCTAGATAATGTTCGCTGCGATTAGCTCGCTATTAGAACTTGTGTCAAATGAAGAATATCATGTGACTGATTGTTTCCGAAGCTTCAAACATCACTGGTGGAATAATAGAGAAATATGACGATGTAAATTAGAAAAATATAATCATAAGTAAGAGAGTCCTTCTGATACCAAGTAATAATGCATTAAAAGTAATAGGCAAAGTTAATGAATTAAATCACTCCAATCATATCACATTGCGACTAATATGAAATGTCACACAAATATCAGCCATGTAGTTTATAAGTCTGAGCCCACAGTGGCAAACTACACAAAAAAGGTGTATTCATTTTCATCTTAACAATAAATATTATATCTAATTTAATTGTTTATTTATTACAGCACTTCTGAAAAAGGTATCCAGGTTTAATAATAACACGTGACGTAGGCTTCTTGGACTTTTTAGCATATGAGACTAAAAGTATTTTATTCTAACAATTAAAGATTAGATTTACTTGGCATTGTTGGGAATCTTTGATTTGCTATTAAAGCAACCGATTTTAATATGACATGGATTAATATAGATTAAAATGTAGCTGATTTATCAACTAAACATTCCTTCTGCCAACCCCAGCAAAGTATAACAAAAATAGGTTTCAAGATTAGTAATGCTGTATACATCAAGTTTCTACCCTACCTATGTATGTAACTTACAAATAGTAACGTCAGACAATTATTGTGTCTTTTTAGGTGGCAGGAGGCATTTGTTGTGTTATGGATTCACAACGTTGAAAAGAGAACAATTAGATACAAAATAGGATGTAGGCTCTACACAATGATTTAATAATATAATGTACAGATTTTTAGGTATTCAATGATCTCAAATGGCTTTAACAATAGTGCATATTGCTGCCGTAAATGTGAAAAAAAATCTCCCAGAGGAGCATGCTCCCGGACCTCACTAGGTTTGGGCTAAGCCCCTAATGTGGTACTTCTCAAATCTAAGGCTGCAGATTTATCATACATCTGTGGATAGTAGATACTGTAAGAATTATTTATATTTTATTAATTAATTTAAATACACATTCAGACTCTTTTTCTGCTTTCTTGATGGTGAGTTAAATGCATCTAATGGTTTGAGAGTAGGGCAGGAATGGTCATGATGGTCAATGTCAAGCGAGAGAGCTCATGAGTGAGAGCATGAATATGGAATCAGTGTCAACATGATATAGGCTAAAATTTCCTTTGAACACTTCATGGAGCCTAATGCTACTCTACAGTTCTGTGGTTTATCGGTGAATTGCAATATCTACATCGCAGACTGGAGTCTCTGTTAACAGTGACAAACAGACAGATAGATCCATGTAATATAAATGCTTGTCTCCTCTATGAAACTTCTTTTCCTCACTGGATAATTATAAACTGCATTATTATAAATTATGATGAATTGGTTGTGAGTCTCATCTCGCTTTCGTCCAGGCACTGTCTCTCTGTCTTCTTCAGTTTTCAAGCATTAGTTCCTGCTGTTGACAGTGCAGTTGCTGTGGTTGCTCTTAATAAGTATTAGATGTTATTCTGGCCATTCAAATTGAACAAGCAACATGAATATAGCACTCCATTTAGTATGACACCATTATAGAGTGACCTTCTGTCAGCACCCCAACTGCGAGTGACTGCCAGCGTCCCTGATGAATGGTTGGGATGACAAGCATTAACAAATAAAATAATTTATTCGAACTGTCAGAAAGATGCTTTGGTTAGACGTTGCACTGCATTAAAAATAGAGCCCTCAGTATACTTTTTAACCCTGATAGTGGTGCAATTCTATGAATGGCAAAGTTGGTCTATTAAAGGTGTCAGTCCACCACTTTACTTTACATCCACCTCGTATGTGTAAAATATAACTGGGCAATAAAGCTCTTTTTGATTATGATTATGATTCTGACTTTGGTTCAGACTGAAATATCTCAACAACTATCAGATGGACATTTGTTAAAGACATTTATGATCTCCAGAGGATTCATCCTTCTGACTTAAGTGATCCATTAAAGGCAGGGTAGCTAAGTTAGAGAAACCAGCCAGAAACTGCTGGATTTTGAAAGTATCCAACAGAGAAAGTCCCACCCCCTCCCTTCTGGGCTCCTTCCAAAGCCATGCCCCCAAAACATGTGAACGCGCGTTGACGACACCGCAGGAGGACGAGGACAGTGTGACAAGTGGAGAGCAGCGGCTCACATCAGGGGTAAGAAAACATCTAACTTTATCATTATGAAAATAAACAACTAACCCAGCTGTTAGTACTCACTATCAATCTAGCATGTTCTTATTGGATAGGTTTAAAAAGACCGAGTTTTAATCAGTAACGAGTTGGCTAGCTAACTGTTCAGCTGCGGTAACATTGGGCAAAGCTAAAAACAGGCTGATCCACATTTTCCCGTTATACTACTCATAACATGTACGTTGTTTTGCAGGTTAAAGCTTCCATGGTGACAACATTATTGTCTCTGATGAGGACTGCACCCCAGAGCCAAGCTCTGATAAATGCCTTTTCTTTACACTTGCAGCATAAACAATCAAGCAACTACATTTATGTCTTGTGTCTGAAATAATGACATCCAAATGTGGTATAACACTTGTTTATTTTTATTATATACTACTAAAACTACAACTTATATCACAAATAGATCATTTTTAAAACATCAATAAAAATAAGTATATACAGGAAGAGACAAGGTGTGTCCAGATGTATCTCGACTGATTATGAAGACAGTTCAGACTTTACACGTAACATCGTATCGCTGCTGTGGAGATGATTAAATATATCACAATCACCTCTCTGACATGATTACCACATTTCAAAACCAACCATATTACTTTTTGTTTTATATTTTGCTGTATCTAGCAACACAGTTGGGGCAGGGACACCTGACTGACCCCATGATGACAAGGATCATCTCCTCAGTAGTAGACAACCGGAGGAGGAGGATGGCACTCTGGAGGTCTGTGATGTAACTGTAGTCCTTCTCCCACTTCAATTAGTACAAGCTCCACTTCCTGGACTTTTTGTTGTACACCTTGCTGTACCTGATAATACAGAAAGGATGTCAGAACACCTGACATTGTTCTCTTATAGAGTAATTAGTAAACTATTCCCACATAAACTATTTCCACATAAAACGCAATCAATAACCATCAATCAGCACTTATAAATGTATTGAGTAAAATGCACAAGAGTACTCATAATGCAACATACTGAATTGTGTCATTAGCTTTTCTCCTGGCTGGTCTGTGGACATGGTGGTTGTAATCCAGGCCAGCCAGCATGGTCCGATCAGTATACTGGTGAGAAGCACAGGGTGTTGGAAGACTGCAGGTGACCTGAGGGCGCAGTAGAAATAAAAAATACAGGATTTTTTACTTCTGGTAAAATAAGTAATGGCAGAACCCCAGTTACAGTAAAAGGTTTTCACACAGTAGGTTTAGCTACGAACAATGTCAAACTACATTAGAGGTAGCTTATATACCAGAATATAAGATACTTGGGGACCTTTAGTCATCATTGTTTATGTACATTAACGTTGAAATGTCTTTCTCATAACTACAAACACACAGATACAGAATTTGTAAGAGTAACATCCAGTCAAACATCAACTGCAGACACAAGATAATTACACAAACAGATTAGATACAAGGTGTAAAGATAGGTGTAAACATAGTATAATAAACCTAGATGGTGAATAACTAAACCGGCGCTGTCTACACCTGCATTGTCTTAACTAATATTAGCTTACCAGCACACCTACAGCTAGATATAATTCATCGTCTCTACTCTGGCTCCTACACCAGCCTGCACTCGTAGCAACAGTTAGCTGTATGCTAAGTAGGTAGCTACTGTTAGCTTTAAGCGTAGGTAGCTACGTTTGCTAGCGATGAACAAATTAACAACAAACAAATTACCATCAAAATGATAAAATCCAGATTACCAGCATAAATAAAGCCACCACAGTGTAACTTTTCAGCCCCTTGACTCTCTTTTTCAGAGCACCTAACTTTTTAATATGCATTGGTGTTTAAAGACAGTTTCAACAAATATGACAACAAGTGTTTCAGAAGCAACTTGCCTACCCTGCCTTTAACTCTTCTCTAACACCACAGTGAGATTGACATTTGTGGTTTTGAGTGAAATATCTCCATTTCCAGCTCCTACATGGATTGCCATGAAATTGAGACTGCACTGACTGGGATGTTTTCAGAACTGCTACCAAAAGTCTGGATGAATATACAGAGGCTGTGATGTCCTACATCAGCTTCTGTAAGGACAGCTGTATACCAACATGCACCAGGGTGAGTTATAACAATGACAAACCCTGGTTCACAGCCAAACTCAGACAGCTGAGGTTGGTAAAGGAAGAGCATTTAGGAGTGGTGACCGGGCCAGGTTTAAGGAGTCAAAGTACAGGTTTAGCAAGGCGGTGTGAGATGCTAAACACCAGTTCTCAAAAAATGACTCTGCTTCTGTCAGGAGCGGCTTCAGACAAATTACCAGCAACAAACCTAAATCCCCCCACTCCATGAACGATTCACGCCTTGCCAACAAGTTGAACCAGTTTTACTGTCGCTTTGAATACCAATGGGACAGACCTGACACCATTCATCACCCCCCACATCCTACCCCTCTCTTACCATCCTGGAGAGGGATGTCAACAGACTGGCTGATGCTTCCATGCTCTAAGCTAACGTTACGGTTTTATTGCCAATTAACATTACTGATCAGCTGATTGTCTCGCTAAGTAACCGGCAAAGCCAAACCACAGGCTGAAAAATAAGTAGGTGCCATAAAATTAACCCATATTGCACACCACTGACAGGGGAAACTTGGCTCTCTGTGATTATGGTCAGCTTCTAGCTAAAGCTATCAACCAATAGTTTTCTTTTGCATCGCTAAAGTCGGCCAAACAAAGTTAATTACCTGTCCAGCAGAAAACAGACAACTTCAGCACTGCCCACAATAACGTTATAGCCTTCCATCTGGGAAAATCCACAAAATCCGTGATTTCTGCCATCAGCTGTCTGTCCCGCTGGCTGTCGGCTTTCGTGCTAAATAACACGCGTGTGCTCCTTCAGTTGTCCAAATGTCACTTCTTTTCTTACTTCTAATAAACCAGAAGACTACTTGGAGACTTTATAGTACGATTATTATTATTCCCTCTTCTTCTTCTTTGAACGTATTCAATGTAGTGACGTATTCAATGTAGTGACGGGCGTCTACACTACCGGAATTATACAAGCAGAAGAAGAACGCCATGATGACGAAACACGCTCTGGTTTGTTCGTTGGTGGCTACAATAGAAACATGACGACAAAATACAGCGACCTCCACAGCAGGGGGTGCCCGCGGTTATGTAGATACAAATGTCTCATTCTAAGGTAATAAAAACATAATGGTTCATTATGTAAGGTCTTTACACACCACTGAAAACATAGTTATGGATCTTAAATTGCATTTCTGTCAATAGAGCCTCAGAAATATTACACACTGAACCTTTAACATCAGTCAGTTAGAAAAACAGAAGCACTAGGTAACACATGCAGTAATAGTAACCATGATGGGGCTGTGCCCAATAGAGAATACTAGCCTACATTATACCAACACTAAATCAAGAAAAGAACAAATTCAGAATCAAAAGACTGAGTGAACACAGATTTGACGATCCAAACATGAAAAGCACTTTATGTTGAAACCAGCATAAACATCCTTAATTCAGAAAAACATTTATTTCTATGAATCACATGGCTTAGTGAACAGATGAAAGTGAGGACAAAAGCAGTGTGACAGGAAATGCACTTCGAATGTATACTGTGATAACCAATCAAAAGCATTTGACATTTTGACCCATCAACACCATGTCACAACCTTCACTTACTAAATAACCAACAAGTCACAGTGTGAGACAGTGTCAAGATGACCCTGTTATGGGTTACACTGCTCCTGCTTCATCAGGGATGTAAGTGATATATAATAATGACCAAATATTTTCAGTTATTTATCTGTATCTGCATTACATAGTTACTACACTATTTATCATTTACTGTTCCATGTATTTTCATTTAATCTAGATACACTGACTCCAGTGACTACAGTTCAACTTGGTGAACCTGCGACCTTCACATGTGTTTTGCCTGGTAATGAGCTGAACCGTAGAGATCACCACTGGTACAAGCAGAGTGCCGGGGATAATCTGAAATTAATTGTGACACTGCGGAAAAATACAAACCCTGTGTACGGACAAGAGTTTTCTGCCTCAAGATTGGAAGTAAAAGTTTATGAGAATATTAGCAATCTGACCATTTTCAGGACAATTCAAGAAGATGAGGGAATGTATCACTGTGCAGTAATGGATTGGTCTAAGATTACTTGGAGTGCCACCTATTTGTCATTAAAAGGTAATAATGTGATTTTGCTATATTTTGGAATCACTTTAACAAGTTACTGTGTTAAGTCTTTATTGTTGAGAACAATATTCAATTCAATGTCATATTAGAATGTATATGGTGTTTTAGAAATTGAAATGTTGTGTAAGGTAAATTACTCTGTTTTGCCAATGTGGAGGTTTCACTTTGGAAGAAATTTGTCATTATATCAGTGTCATCTCAAATCATTATATGTTATTCTAATATTAAGTCTTAACTTGTAAATATTCATAAATCCTTAAATCTTTTAATATTTTTTCAAATATGCGTGCAGTTCCCAAACTTTTAACACACTGTTATATCACACAGGCAACACTCACCGGACATCAAATTATACTGTCATTCAGGGGACAACAGTATCTGATCCAGACCATCCAGGACACTCAATAACTCTACAGTGTTCAGTCCTCTCTGAATCTGAGAATGAGACGTGTCCAGGAGATCACAGTGTGTACTGGTTCAAAGCCGGATCAGATCATTCTCATCCAGACATCATCTACACCGATGGAAATGGACATAATGAATGTGACAAGAGGTCTGACTCTCAGAAAAGCTGTGTTTATCGCTTCTCTAAGAACATCAGCTCCTCTGATGATGGGACTTACTACTGTGCTGTGGCCACATGTGGGAAGATATTATTGGGAGCTGGAACAAAATTACAAATCGGTATGATTCTGGGCTCAATACTGGAGGGATATTCACAACATGCTAATATTATCATTAATCCGTTTTTTTCTTTGTTGTCTAGAGCGGACAGAAAATTCTGAATTTATTGCACTGGTGATAGCAATAGTCTGCTTGGTCATTTCTATGATTGGAAATATTGTTTTCATCTTTTACCGAACTCCAAAAACAGTATGTGAACAGTTTAAAGGTAAGTGTTGACTGAAACAAATTGTTAATACTTCTTTGGAAATGTAACATCACACAGAACAGGACAAACTCAACTGAACCTCATATTCTGGGATAAATAAAAGATATCTGTATATGGTTGTTATTTTGCACTTTATTAATCAGCAGATATTTTGTATTCCCATTTTACACAATTTTGAACACTGAACCATGGTTGTTCCATGTGTGCTCACTAAACTCTAAAGTATCCCTAAATTTTTCCTTTGCAGTACACAATGTCAAGGTGTCCAACAATAATGACTTTTTTATTATTAGTTTTTAATTAAAACATGTTAAATCACAAGTAAATGAAAAGTCATTAAGAACATAATATCCCTGTTTTCATTCATTCTTAGGAATAGAAAGCGACTCTTCATCAGCAAGACATGACAACTCGAGCCAACCAGTACATGATAATGTAAGTGGTGTTAACCAAATCACATTTCTTGTTATTTGACAGCACCATATAACAACATGATACATAATGAGCCTTTCATTTCCTGTCCAGTCTGAAGGTGAAGATAATTTGAACTATGCTGCGTTGCATTTCACTGGAAAGAAAGACACAAGAGGAAGGAAGCAGAAAGAGTTGAAGACTGAGGAAAGTCTGTACTCTCAAGTTAGATGCTGACAACCAGCGTGTCCATGCAAACCTGTAGGTTGGTTTATAGGACTGACTTCTGAGAGTCTGAATAAATTTAATAAGTTCTAAACTTGAGTGAGCATACATATATAAGTGCAAGGGCATAAAGTTTAGCAGGTATTGTAGGGACATGTCCCTTCCAATATCCAGCAACTATTTAACTCTCTCTAGCAATAGTTGTTTGTCTCCAAAAATGAAAAAATAATCACTGTCAGTGTCTAGTAATTGTATTTGCAACACATAAAAATAAAATTACAGAGTATTGTGTTTGAAATTGACAACCATTACAATACATACAATAAATACATCCCGTACATGAAATAAGATATGGGCTTAAGTAGATGTAGAAATCACTATAAAACAGAGTCTAGAAACATTTAATACAAGAACACAAAATAAGAAGTGTGCATATGCGTCTGTGTATGCTAACATATGCAACCTTATGTTTGTATGCATTGTATTGTATCCTGTATAGTCAGTGTTCACAGAATTGTTTGAGTTTCAGCCATTGTTTTAAATGTGTATTAAAAACCCTGAGTTCTGTCAATGTTTTAATTTCGGATGGTAAAGAGTTCTACAGATGTATGCCTCTTACTGAAAACGATGTCTGACCAAATTTTGTTCTACATTTTGCTGCTATACAGTTTCCACTTACTGTGCCTCTAGTTCTTATTCCACTCTTTTGTTTCTCTAGTTGACAGAATATTCCTGATGCAAGGTTGTTCACACACTTAAAAATTAGTTTATTAGTTCTGGTCCATAACTTTTAGTGCCTGTTTATATAAAAACATAATAGATGTAATTGTTGTTTAGTTGGCCTGACCCCAAACAGTTATGCAATACCATAAATGACAAAATATAGAATGCATAAACTGCTGTGCTGCCTTAAGGGGTATATATTGTCCTATTAAATGGAAGCAGTTTAAATTTGTCTGACAGTTCTGTTCAGTTCTCTTTACATGTCTATCAAACTTAAGATGAGAATCTAAAGTAACCCCTAAAAAATTTTAATTGATGTACCTCATCTACCTATCTCCTTCTTGTCAATCTTCATTCTGAAATTTTCATTGACCTTTCTTTTTATTGAAAAGTACATAGAGACTGTTATCATAGTTCAGGGTAAGATGATTATTTCGGAGCCACTCTGATACACGGTCCAGTTCTTCGGAAATCATCCAATCTAAGGGGTTTTTGCTGAGACATATATAATTGTGTCATCTGCATACATCTACTACAAGTCCAGTGCATTTTAAAAGCCTCCCCCCTCATATGCCTCATTGTGGTTTGGTCCGCTGCCTAAGTTTTTCAGATCCTCAAAGACTTTATTTCAGCAAAGCAACTAGCGACAGATCTAGTGAGTTAATTCGACCATCAGGGGGAAATAAGAAATATTTAAAAGTATATTACATGGTAGACTAATATATTCCCCTGAAAACTTTGTAATAATGATATTGTTTTGTGACATGAAATATCTTCTTTTGGTCCCTGCAAATGTTGAGACCAAGCCTACACCCTTGTTAAAGTGTATGTATGGTGCCTACCAGTATTTGCAAAAGTTCTTTATGTTCTGTATGTTACTGTAGGTTGATCCTTTCATCGTGTTATGTTTCTGTGTATGTTATTTGTTTGTTCTGCTGAAGGTAAAACCTTGTAAGTGATTATTAAAGCATACGACTGTCTACAATTAACTGTGTTAATTATTCTCAAACAAATGCATCTCAGCTTTTTGTTACTTATAACTGAATATGCATTCAAGTTACAACACAAACAACACAACATAAAGATATACAACAGACAACAACACACTCAATTACAAACAAATGGAAAAATCCGCTTTTTTATTATCAGTTCAAAATATTAGTTTTCTTAATTTGAATCTATTTGACAATGTAGGTTGAAAAGAAATTGAAATGGCTCAAATACTTAGTGAATGCTGAATGTTCACATCTGAGAGGATAGTGGTGGAGCAAGAGGACGCATATGAGCACTGTGGAGAAGAAAAGCTACATATCTGCTATAACAAATCAAACTCTTTTGTGATCTCGGTCTCTGAAACAGAAAACCCTGAGTTTCCCTTATCTTGGGCTGAACTTACTGATAGTTTTCACTTATCCCACTTTCTGAAATGGGGCCCTAGTGTGTTCTGTCTGTTTTCCCTCTCCCTTATGTTTCTGTTTTGTCATCTGTCTGTCCTGTGGGGCATGGCACTCCTTTTTCTCTCTCTCCTTATCATGGCAACTGTGGCTTCCTACTCCTACTCCTACTGTTCTTTCCCTCACCCCCCTTAGTGTTGGTGTTTTCCTGTATCTTGCAACTGTTTTCACAAAGGTCCATTTAGGATCTCCGCAGGCTGGAAGTTCCCATTTAGGCGGTTCTTTTCCTTTTCTTGGGCTTCAGCACATGTTGGTATGTTCCCAGCTCGGTGGTGCAGGGTTCTGATGACACCTAGCTTGTGCTCCAGTGGGTGGTTGGAATCAAAAAGTAGGTATTGGTATTGCTCCTGTCCTCTTCAATTTGTACAGCAAAGTCCAGGAAAGCCAAACTGCTGCTGTTGATATATCTTGTGTGAACTTGATGTTACTTTCCACAGAGTACATGTGTTCTGTGAAGGCATGCACTTCCTGGGTTTTAATTTTGACCCATGTGTTGTCCACATACCTGTACCAGTGGCTCGGTGCTCTTCCTCTGAAGGAGTTCATGGCTACTAGTGAGCCCATGACATAGCAATACTTCTGTCTGTAGAATCCTCCATTGTACTGGAAATAGGTGGTGTTTAGGCAGAGGTCTAGTAAGTTTACAGATCTGGTTCAGGCTGAGGCTACTTCTGTTGTTCAGGGTGTTGTCTTAGCAGTTGTGTCCTTTCTGTTTCTACTGCCTCAATGGTGGGAATGCATGTGAACAAGGTAATCACATCAAATGAGACCATGGTTTTATCTGGGTCCAGTTTTGTTCTAGAACTATATCTTTATTGCGTGTACTGGATGTTTTCATTTCATGGTTGTAGTATTTTAAACTCAACACTTATTTCTGTTATAACTTTAAAAGCCTAACCAGGGACAGGGGTTGCAAATTAGTCATGGCTAGAAACTTGTATGCATGGCATCTACTTTGTATACTTGATGAAGCAATGTATCATTTATTTGTACCTGTCAAATAAACATGTGAAACATTTTTAAAATATAATAATATGAAAAAAAAAAGTGTTTGTGTTATAACTACTCTTACTGTATGAATGGCGTAAGAATTGTTTGGGTGGTGTGAGAGCATGAGACAGGGCCTGAGAGACATCATCTAACTCATGACTTAAACCAGTGCATTTTCTGCATAACATGTGATGGCCACACAGCCCTCTTAAAAGCGATAACCTCATACACTTACACTTTTCCTTAGTTTATGCTGTTATTTTTCCTTAGGATTGGTTTATTTACTTTTTCAGACACATTATACATACATTTGTTGCAAACATTTATTTAGGTAAAAATATCATACAGGACACTTGGTTTGTTTCACATACATTATACTTTATTTAGATGACAGTACAAAGGTTATCTTTTTGGAGCGTGCACAATTAGTTAGTTTTGGATTGTCCTTCTGTTTTTATAACCACTTTCTTTTGAGTTTACCAGTGTTGGGGATTCCACACCCTGGAAGGATCCTTACAGTTTGCTGGCTTTAAAGGGTGACGAAAACTGGTTTGATCAACCGGTATATAGAAGTCCCTTTTGTTTCTCTTGTAGTAGGTCAGTTGTATTTTTGAGTTTGTTATGTTCAGAGCTTCAGTTTATTTTTCAGTTTGGTCTGTTTATTTTACCTCTTTTACGGGCCAAACTTGCCTAACTGCTTGGTCCATCACAACATATCAAACTCTTCCGTGACAGGGGCCAATGGGCGTCTGTGAGCACTACTACTGCAATTAACACAGTACTTCTACTGCTACAGTTATCAAAACCACAACAATGTTTTCATTCTGGTCTGTGAGCACTGCTACTGATAATAATACAGTCTGCAGTCCACACAACCTCAAAAGAGCTTTCATCAAGGTTTACTGACTAGACTTCTCTACTTTGATGGCTCAATTACTGTTTCTTTACTTGACTCACACAGCTGTTTTCTGTGCTCTTTTCTTTAGTCTTTTGGTATTTTTACCCTTCTTCCTGTCACACCTCCTTCCTCTCTTCCGTCTTTTTATTTGCTACTGACTTTGGTGATACCGTAACTTTTCCTCTAGGGCCACCAGCAGGTTGACATTTTTGGCTTTTACTGAAATTTCTTGACAGCTGTGAAATGGATTATTTTGAAATTTGGTGAAAGCCAGATACCAAGAGGATGAATCATATATTGTTGGTGATACTCTGACTTTTCTTCTAGCATCCTCATGAAATTTGTTACACACGTTCATGCCACCCTTAAGATAAACTGTAATTTCATCCCTTTGTCTGGGGAGGGAGCATTGGTTCAGCCTGGCTTTCATCTCCTCTGAAGGACACACTTCATGCACCCTGGCGTATTTGAAATGTTTGCTACATTCCCCTCCATCTCTAAAGCAGGTGGGAGTATATAAAACATTAGCAGTAACAGTAGGTGCATTTGACTTCATGCGGCACTGTGCAACGCTGACTTAACATAATGCATGCAGGACTTAACATAAGGCATGCTGGTTAGAAATTCTGTCCAACTTTCGCCAGCTCTGAAAAATGTCACCATGTCACATGACATTAAAACCTCGCGGGAGCAAGGCGGCTGCATCAGTCATTGATCTCAGCTCACAGTCAGCTCACACTTGACAGCGCTGTTTTATTCCCCACCCCTGCAGTCATCAGCAGCTCACATTAGAATATCAAGTCGGTGAAAGTCAGCCGCAGTCATCTCGAATGCACCTAGTCACAGAAAGTCAACGGGACCTGCCAATAAAACAAGAAAAAGAAGAACAACAGAGCGAGGAATCCAGGATTGATGATGCAGGGCTCTTCAGAGTACTTCACTCACATCTGATTCTTACAAGTTGGTACTTAGCATTAATAAATTAGAGACCAAGGTAGACTGTTTCTTGCAGGATTTCATGAATAAAAACAACCCACAAAACTGAAACTGCTGTAAATGGAATTAATATTAGGCCTATGCTAGTGCTAAACTAAATATATAACAGTAGCCTATACCATGAAATTAACATTATATTTTTATTTAATGTATAATGAATTATACATTATACAATACAATAATATTCTTTTTTTTCTTTATCCAAGCACAAAGAAAAAAATCAGTGTGTTCAAAAGTCAAAAGTAAACAATCTCAACGTTATAAAGGATGAAAGAGAGGTAATATGCACAAAGACCAGGATGAGACCAATGTGACAGGAAGTGCACTTTGCATATTCTGTGATAACCAATGAGATGCATCTGATGGTCTGATGTATCACGACCATCTCACCTCCTTCACTCACTGAAATACCAACAAGTTTCTTAACAAGAGACAATGTCAAGATGATCCTGTTATGGGTTACACTGTTTGTTCTTCATCAAGGAAGTAAGTGTTGTTTTATTATTAAGAATGTACATGCCGACTGGGTATGGACATGCCCCTTCTTACATCATAATATTTCCACATCATACACTGTTATATTATATATTGTATGTTTTCATTTTATTCAGATACGTTGGTTCCAGTGACCACTGTTCAACTTGGTGAATCAGCGACCTTAACATGTGTTTTGCCTGGTGAAGAGTTGAGCAATAGAAAGCTCCACTGGTACAAGCAGCATGCCGGAGATACGGTGAAATTAATTATGACACTGTGGAAACAACCTCAGTATACACCTACATTTTCTGAATCAAGATTTAAGGTAAACACTGACAAGAATTTTAGCAACCTAACCATTCTGAGGACAATTCAAGAGGATGAGGGAATGTATCACTGTGCAATAACAGCGTGGATTGATCCTGAATGGAGTGGTACATATCTGTTAGTAAAAGGTAACAGTGTGTTCTACTTTTACAAAGTGTTAAACTGTGATTAAGTATGTAACATTTTTAACAGTTTTGTATCACACAGGAAACACTCAGAGGACATCAAACTATACTGTCATTCAAGGGCAGACAGTATCTGATCCAGACCGTCCAGGAGACTCGATGACTCTCCAGTGTTCAGTCCTCTCTGACTATGACCACAAGACGTGTCCAGGAGATCACAGTGTGTACTGGTTCAGAGCCGGATCAGATAAATCTCATCCAGACATCATCTACACTTATGGAAATGGATATGATGCATGTGACAAGAGATCTGACTCTCAGAAAAGCTGTGTTTATCACTTCTCCAAGAATATCAGCTCCTCTGATGCTGGGACTTACTACTGTGCTGTGGCCACATGTGGAGAGATATTTTTTGGAGAAGGAACTAAAGTGGAAATTGGTATGACTTGGTGTTCAATAATGGCAGCAATTCTCAAAATATGCTGATGACATCATGATTGATAACTGTCTTTGTTTTCTAGTGCAAACAACACATTCAATATTCATTGCAATGGCGATATTAATTGTCTGCTTGGTCATTTCTGTTGCTGGAAATGTTGTCCTCATCTGCAAACGAAAAGTACACAAACAAGATGAAGGTGAGTGTTGTGAGCAAGAAAAATAGTTGCAAAAATGAAAATTCTCTTGACATATAAGATTTAAATGTGTTTATGCATTT